TATCCATATGCTCTTGCGCTACCCTCCACAGGATGGATATGGGATGCACAATAAACTAGCCACTTCGGTGGTGAAATCTAATCTAAAATCTATCCACCGGGTAGGCGGGGTCATCTAGCCACTGAGTTAAACGAACTATGGTAAGTTAAAACCAACTATCTCCACTGTACATAAATTCACTCTATACTTGTGTTTCATAATGACCCGGACGATAGCTTTTATAAATCATTGTACATCATTACCTGCTTGTGCCTTTGTGTTTATAATGATCTGTGTAAGAAGACTTCAGTGCCTTTTTTTTTTTTTGTAAATAAGAATTAACGTTATTGAAGAACAGGCTGTATGTACGTCTTATTCACTCGTACATCTTTACGGCCATACATTTACACACTGTGAATGATCTTTGTAGGATCGTTGGTCGAGTGGTTAAGGCGGCGTGAACGTTGTTCTGCCTCCTGAGGCGGGACAATGTCACAGGATCTAATCCCGGCTGGCTGCAGTTTGGTAAATGATGTATATATATGCATTTAAGACTCAGACCCTGTTCAGGAGGGCGAAATGTAGCGATCTCTTTTCGCCCCGTTTAATTTTTTTTTCTTTGTTTTTTTCATCGTTCACTCTTGATGACATTCTTATTCATGTCTATTCAGATATTATTCACTGATGAATCAGCGAGTCATTCACTTCTGACAGCATGTGAATGACTCCCCCCTCCCCACCCCCTCCCCCACACCCCTCCCCACCCCCTCCACCCCCCCCTCCCCACCCCCTCCCCACCCCCTCCCCCACACCCCTCCCCACCCCCCCCCCACACCCCTCCCCTCCCCACACAGTACATTACAGTTACGTAATGTTGATCATTCATCCCTCATCTTCTCTGGTTATTTATTTTTATTTAATCTCGCATCTCATATCCTTAATGTGACCTCTGTAGAATGTTCACCTTAAAAAGTACTTATAATTAAGTGTTGATGTATATTGTAAATTATTACAAAGTAAGTGCTAAACCCACAAGGATATATAGACATTTTCCCAATGTTGGTTTAAGGTAATGATCAGTTTTACGATTATTATAAATCAATATATAAATTGTATTACATTTTTGGTTAGATATAATCACATGTTTGTAACTTTGAATAATATTGATTATTATTATTATTGTAAAGTTAAGAAAGGCTTTCGCATTAATCTAATTTTTAAAGCCTAACACGGCGCCTTACGAGTATTTATTCACAAAATGCGGTAAACCAGGAAGGGAGGGAAGGGTAATATTGTATTCTGGGAGAGCGCTATACCCGCATTGGGGCGCACTTTGCGGGTCGTCCAACTAGCCTTGATCAGATATTTCTGAAGCTTATTTGAGTATTACGGACACCCTGGTCTTCCAGAAGCGCTAAACCCACAAAGGTGAGCTTAATAATCTGGAATTTGCAATGTTTGTAAAGATGATGCTTTTGTTGCTGATGAAGGGCTCTTGATCCAGGGACTCTGGGCTACCTTCTCCATGCGTCTCCCATTCTCTAAGTACCGTATAATCCCTGCGGGTTTAGTGCTTCCTGGTGAGTGCTGCAGGAAGTTTGGAAGAGTGTTGTAGCCTGAGGCTCATTAGTACTCTTATGGCAAGACGGCTACTGACCGAGTGATGGTGAGTGTTTCTTTTTTTTTGGGGTCGACCCTACCATGGTGAGTGATGGCCAGCTGTCTTGCCATTAGCGTGCTGACATGACAATTTCAATGACCTTCTTCCTATGATTAAGCTGTAAACCCACTGGTGGGTAAGCCAGAGGGAGACTTCGGTCAGATAACCAAAAGCTCCAGCTGTGGGTCGTCACATGACTAAGACCCGCGACAGGAAACACTTGACCTGTTTCCTGACAAACCTTAACCTAACGTCGCGGGGGCAGGCAGCAACCATGTCAGAATAGAGATGGAATGCTCTGATTCCTTGAATCAAGAGCATAGGGGTAATTGACATTTAAACACGACTCAAGAAATCGTAATGACACGATTGCAAACAAACCATACCCCCGGCCGGGATTGAACCCGCGGTCATAGTCTCAAAACTCCAGACCGTCGCGTTAGCCACTAGACCAGCTAGCCACAATAAGATTCATCCAACTAGGTATATTTCTACACCATAGGAAGGTTAGCACAGGCACCTCTGTGACCACAAATGCAAGTTTTTACAGACGAATCTCCAGCTAGCGTGGCCGTGACGAACTCTAGCTCAAGTCCCTTCACTGCCGTCTGTAAAAACTTGCATTTGTGGTCACAGTGGTGCCTGTGCTAACCTTCCTATGGTGTAAAAATATACCTAGTTGGATGAATCTTATTGTGGCTAGCTGGTCTAGTGGCTAACGCGACGGGCTGGAGTTTTGAGACTATGACCGAGGGTTCAATCCCGGCCGGGGGTATGGTTTGGGACATTTAAACACCTCTCTAAGAAGCCTTATATAAATATATATAAATTATATATTATATTATAAACATGGAAGTATAGAAGTCATGGATAACGTGTGTGCCATTGTGTATATGGTTTATTCTAAGTGATTTTTTGTAAATTTTTCTTACCATATTGTCAATAAAGGTATTTTATATTATTATTGTTATTTTTATATGTATTCCTAATATTTATTATTTTTTTTTTTAGAACTCCAGAGCTGCACGAGAATGTATATTACCGTGTATGATCTCTCATTGTCCAGGAACTTGACAATTGCCCAGCATCATTGTTCAGGAGCTGTACAATTTTCCAGTTTTTCTCCAGGACCTGTACAATTATCCAATATCATTCTCCAGGAGCTGTACAATTATCCAATATCATTCTCCAGGAGCTGTACAATTATCCAGCATCGATCTCCAGGCTATGTATGGGTTTACTGATCCTCGTGAATTATTATTATTATTATAATCAAGGGGGAAGCACTAAACCCGTAGGATTATACAGCGCCTATGGGGGGATGGAAGGCATTCAGGCTTAATTCAGGGAACTGGAGCACAGATCCAATTCCCTAGATCAAGAGCCCCTCACCAGCGTCAAGGAGCCTTCCTTGAGGGGTGATCCTCGTGAAGATAATGTAACTTCACGTTTTATCTGATGCAGGATCATTCAAATTTGTGGTATTTACTTTGTTCCTACTCAAGTGAAAGGGCTCTTTGTCCAAGGAGTTCATCTTAATCTTCTCGTATCAAATCTAAACAGCATCCATACCTTCACTGTATACTTGGAGAGGGTTTCGGGGAGTCGATGCCCCCATGACCCAGCCTGTGAGCAGGCCTCGTGGTGGACCAGGATCTGATCAACCAGGCTGTTACTGCTGGCCACACACAAACTGATGTACAATTATTATTATAATCAAAAAGAAGCGCTAAGCCACAAGGGCTATACAGCAACTGATGTACAAACCACAGCCCAGCTGGACAGGTACTGACTTTAGGTGCCTGTCCAGTGCCTTGAAGACAGCCATGGATTTATTGGTAATACCCCTTATGCTGGGAGGCAGTCGCACAGTCTTGGGCCCCTGACACTTATTGTGTTGCCTCTTGGATGTACATTATTATTATAATCAAAAAGAAGCGCTAAGCCACAAGGACTATACAGCGCCTTGGATGTACAATATTCAAGTACAGTGGGTGCACATACAAGTGAACCGGTGTGTGTATATATAGGTGCAGTTTAGATATTATCTACAATCAAAAGAAGCGCTAAACCGCAAAGGTTATACAGGCTGTTTAGATGTGATCCAAGGAAGGAGAGAGGATAAATTCCTTGGATGGGAACAAACACAGTAAATATCAGTTGAAATATCCTGAATCATTTGAAAGATGAAATCAGTTTCATGGGAAGAGGTAAACCTATATAGCCTGGAGACTGGGAGATACTGTAGTTGTGCAAGAAAGGTATAAAATACCGACAATATGAAAGTTAAGACACATGTGCAACATCTGGATATCTTTATTGTAGACGTTTCACCATCCAGTGGCTTTATCAATACAGATTCTAGGACATGATAGGAAGACAGTAGAACTATATACAAAAGATGAGGTAATCAGTCCCTCGGCCTTGGAGTTAGTGTTCACAGCATCGTGGTGGAGGAGAATCTCCACCACGATGCTGTGAACACTAACTCCAAGGCCGAGGGACTGATTACCTCATCTTTTGTATATAGTTCTACTGTCTTCCTATTATGTCCTAGAATCTGTATTGATAAAGCCACTGGATGGCGAAACGTCTACAATAAAGATATCCAGATGTTGCACATGTGTCTTAACTTTCAGATACTGTAGTGTCTGGAGACTAGGAAGAGTGTGAGATAATCACTGCACAGTACCTGGTGAACAGGAGATAATCACTGTACATGCATGTAGAATGAGAAATAATCACTGTACACTACATGGAGAATGGAGGGTGATCACTGTACAGTGCATGGAGAACACAGGAGGGAAGTAATACTGTACAGTACCTGGAGAACAGTGGGTGCTCAAGCTTGTTCACATCAAGAGACCTTCACCATTATCATCATGGTATTAAGGATCAATATGTATAGGACAAGAAAACAACTTGTTTAGCATAAAATTGTTGTGAAAATAGATTAGATTACAAAACTCCCAACATAGCAGCGAACATCCCAGTGCAGATGTGTAGGGCTGTTGCAACAGCTCCACACCACCTAGCAGCAAACATCCCAGTGCAGATGTGTAGGGCTGTTGCAACAGCTCCACACCACCTAGCAGCAAACATCCCAGTGCAGACATGTAGGGCTGTTGCAACAGCTCCACACCAACTAGCAACAAACATCCCAGTACAGTTGTGTTGGGCTGTTGCAACAATTCCACACCAACTAGATCAAATACCCTGTAATTTTGCCTCAAATAAATGGTAAAAACAGCAAATTAAACTGCTTGCTTACTTTGCAATGCAAATTGTCTTTTTGATTAATTTAAAGACTATAGTTGTAAAAATTAACATACAAAAATAAATTATACAAGTATTTAGGCGATTAGTATGTTAAATTTTTTTAAATAATTTTAAAACTAACAAGTGGGTAAACCAGTTGACACTGATGCCCCCAAGAGAGAGTGGGCAGGGAGGGGAGACAAGCAGTATGTTCTCCAGTCTGACTCAAAACTCACAAACAAAATTCTTCTATTCAACCAGAGGTCAAAATCACCAAGACTTGAGCACTGGTGTTCACCAGTTGAGCCTCTCCTATATATATATATGTATATGGCACCACCACCACTACTTCCACCTTGCACTCTACCACATTGTGATTTAGTCCACAAATAATTTGCTCAATAGTAAAGGCTTATATTTTTTTTTTTTTCATTTCAACAAACTGGCCATATCCCACCGAGGCAGGGTGACCTAAAAAGAAAAACGAAAGTTTCTCTTTTTAAATTTAGTAAAGCATACAAGAGAAGGGGTTACTAGCCCCTTGCTCCCAGCATGTTAGTCATCTTTTACAACACTCATGGCTTACAGAGGAAGAATTCTGTTCCACTTTATCATGGAGTAATATGTTATTAATAAATATCCAATTTACATCATAAATATATAGTAATCACGTTTTAAAAACATTTTAATTCAAGGTGGAAATGGTGATTCAGTACCATGGTTCAAATCACTGGATGAGGCACTAAACTGACCAGTATGGTATTTGATACACAATTGTAAATCTGAACAAAGAATCACACTGTTTGGACTACTAAACATTATCAACAAGCATACAGTATGCTTTAATGTTTGTCAAAGGCGAGTAGCTGGACCAGCTTCACACAGCCAATCCTAGTTTTCACACTTCTTTGGTCTGATAAAACCTGAACATGGCAGTTAGGGATGACTGTTTTAGCTCCTACACTAACATACTATAAATAATGCCAGTGTCAGTTTATCAATAAATTAAACTATAATAACTTAAAGTACAGCACTCTATGAAGAGCACATTACTTTTAATGCAATTCAAATTACCAATATTTCATTCACAGCCCTGTTAAAATTTGCAAATTTTCTAAATTACAGTATGTAATACTTATAAAAATATGAACTATTTAATAATGACAGATAAATAAGAAATGCAATGCTTATACAAATAATAAAAAATATAAATGATAAAATTCGAATGTTACTGAGAATTATATTTATATAAAAATTGTAATAATAAAGAATGACAAAAAAAGAAAGGGTGAAGTTTAAAAGTAAAGTGTGAGAGATGACACAAGAGCAAAGACATGCCAAGGTATGAGGTGTGGGTAGCCATACTGCCAGGTGGGAAAAATACTGAGCAACAGTTTGGACAAATGGTGGATTAAAGATGATATGGAACCAGTTCCCCTGAAGGCATAAGGGGAACAGAAAAGGCTAGAAAAGGCAAGGACAGTACAGATAAGGCTGCCTTCAAGCTTTTCTTCCATGGCACACACACAAAGGGGAGTAGAGATGAACATGGTATCGCAGATATAAAGTGAATAAAGACAAGAAAAAATTAACACTGCTAACAATAGATAACAAAAATGCAAAAATTGAAAGCTTTACCAAATTTAACAGTGATATGCTTAAAGAGACTCAACAAATTTTTCAGGCTGGTCAGAACTCCAACTCTTACTGACAAGCTGTAAAGACTCGTCTTTCATGAGATCATTAGTGTTGATGTCTCCCTCCTTTACCTCTGCTTCCACACTGTTCTCCTGAGTTGTTATATTCTGAGTTTCACCATCAATGTGACCATTGCTGATGCTCAAAACTGCATTTTGCAAACTTTCTGTATTATTGCAGGAATCAATTTCCATTTTGCTAATACTGTCAGAAGATTCCAAAGGAGGTACATCCATTTCCTTTAAGTTTTGCGTATCATCTCCTGCCATACAATCTAATTTCCCTCTCTCCACAGACACATTACCAAGATTGTCCTGAAAGGACAGACTTCCAATTGATTCTTTAATTTTATTATCACAGTTTTCTGCAGCTATATTATTTAAATTGTCCTGAGAAGGCTGACTGACAGCTGATTCTGCTTCTTCATTATCACAATTTTTTGCAGTGACCTCTTGAGATGAATTAGCTGCCACCTGATCAGAGGGTTCAAATGTATCATTTGTATCTGCTGAAAACTGACCCTTTCCTTTGTTAGGACGCAAAGATATTACAAAATCATTGGGAGCATCGACTATATCCCCAGAACGGAAATTGACTTGAATACCACTTACCAACTGTGAATCAACACTATCTTCATCTTCACTATTTGTAAAATGTGGTTTGAAGACACCAGTTTCATGGGAAAAGATTAAGTGTTTTTCTCGTGATGATTGAAGAGACTCTTCATTGCTTGATATAGGTACATTATTTCCTCTTCCTGCAGGTGGCAAAATGGGTAGACTTAATATTTCTTGCCGGTCATGACGCATATATCCTTCAGGGTGCACATATTTGAAAGGACGGAAGTGCACTTTGATGTGCTCACGAATGAAATTAGGCTGTGATGCTGTATAATCACAAAAAGTGCACTTGTACACACCATACCCTCCATTGGCATGGTGCCGCAAACTATGGCTATCGACAGCATCACGTCTGAGGCTTGCATATGGACAATACTGGCAGTAATAGACTCGGCGGTCCTTATCATCATCCTTTTTTGATGGATCTATGACTCCCTTTTTATTCTGTAATAAGAGATGCTGACGCTCCGTCGTTGTTAAATCTGCATCATCGAGATTCTCTTTGTTGGCAAGATCCTCCATTCTGTTCTTCATTCCTTTGTCACTCTGAGAAGAGTTATCACCCGAAGATATGACGGGTTCGTACTTGAGATCAGTGTCTACTGGAGGAGGTGATCCATCATTTTGAGATACCATCTTTTCATGATACTTATGACGATTAATGTGCATCATGAAATTGGCATAGAATTTAACTGAATAATCACATATACGGCATTTATACTTATGATTGGAACCATGAAGGTTCGAGTGAACATGATATTGTTCAGTCTTTTCAAAGGCAGACGGACATTTGTTGCACTTGTAACGTTTTTCTCGAGATTTACCTGTAACTTTATCTATATGAAGAGGATAATGGAGCTTGGGGTCTCCAATTCTTTTAGGATCATCGTCCTCTAATTCCTCTTTATCCTTAGGTATTTTAGCCTTACTTATGGAATTCCCTTTACTTGGCCCAGCATCGACTGCAACTTTATCATGCCCCTCCTTCTCTAACTGTGTCTTACGGCGTAAAAGGTCTACTCCAGACAAAGGAACTTGTTCTTCAACATAGTATTTGAACTGTGGACGACAACCATCACTGCCACACTCTGATGCTCCTGGCCGCAACCCAATAAGTTTGAGCTTAATTGGTGGATGATAAGATGAGACATTTTTCTCTGAACTTTTCAAGTTATTCTTTGATTTTGAAACTGACTCAGTTGCCTTTTGGTTTTCTGTTTTTTTGATAGGACAAGTAGTGGCTTCCTTAGCGTCTTTTTCAGCCTGGCAATTTTCATCATACTGAGTATGAAGGTGAAGGTGTTGTTGGAGAGACTCACAAGTTTTACCAGCATATGAACAACGATGACACTGATGTGGATTTTTGGCTCCATGCAGAGACTGGTGATATTGTAGTGTTAGAAGCTTGCTAAATGAGGCTGGACACTGATCACACATGTATTTACTGGTGGGTGGGGGCTGTGGTGGCACAATAGTGGAGGGTTGAGCAGAGGCAGATAATTCTTGGCCTCCTGCTCTCACTGATGTTTGAACCGACTGACTGTCTTCAGCTACATCCATGGATAAATCGAGTGGAAGTGTGAGTCCTGGCACAGGTGGATGTGTGGAGGCTGTTCTATGCTGACTCATCATTGTGCGAGTACGATGTTGATATTCTGGAGTATGAACCTTAAGGTGAGCAAGAAGATGAGCTGGCTGTTGGACACCATAATTGCAATGATCACAAGTGTGTGGAAGGCCTGTAGTATGAAAGCGCGAATGAATCTGGATTTCCTTTAAAAGGAAGAATCTTGCAGGGCACTGCTGACAATAATATAGCACCTTTTCATCGGGTTTTCTAAGTCTTTCCTCAACAACAGGCAGAGATTGAACTCTATCTGAACACATAGTAGCTCTTAACGTTAGCTGCCTTAGCTGATCTTCATCACTTAAGGATGGGTCAACTACAGCATGACACTGACCCATTGAACCACAGTGAACTTTCAAGTGAGCAGACATAACACCAGCATTTACACTAACATATGAGCAATTTTGGCAGTGTAAACTGCCCAGTACTTTGGAAGCATCTGTTTTATGCATTTTTTCGTGCTCTTGAATGTTGGTTTTACGCAAGTTTACATGGGGACAATGGCGACATTTGAACATCTTGAAAAAGCGATTATCTCTTGACACCCACACTAATGGTATATCATCCATCAGCAATGTAGTTTCATCTGTAAGCTTGGGAAGCAGAGAAGTGTCAGTGAAGGTTGAGTCATTTCCTGAGTCGCCGCCTGTAGTAGCACTGCCTACAGGAGTAATGGTGAGGGATGGGGAGGGAGAATTGGAGCGATCATCCAACTGAGTTATATCACTTGCTCCTGTCCCATCAAGATTATCTTCCATTCCATGGACACGAATATGCTGGGAAAGTAAATGGCGCCGAGTCACATTATAGGAACAATGAGGGCAGTGGAATGGTAGTCCTTTTGGTTTATGGAACTGGCGGTGGTGCATCAGCTTAGCACGACTCCTTGTTTCAAACGGACAAGCACCACACATAAACTGTCTGGCCCCAACTTCATCCTGTGAAAAAATACAAAGAAAATTAGCAAATTAAAAAGGAAGAAATCCTGAAGTTTACTTATATGAATGTGTATGAGTGTAGTATGGATGACAAGTGATTGTGAATGAAAAGAAGTTGGACGTCCTAGTTCTAGGTGAAACAAAGCTTATGGGTGCAAAAATTTCAGAGGGAGGGAGGGAAATAAATAGGGTTATATTGGTATATTTGAAAAACTAGAGCTAAAGAAGGGGTAGCGGTAATATTAAATAATCAACTATGGATGGAGAAGAGAAGGTATAGGTGTTTATATTCAAGAAATATTTTCTTTCTTTTTTGGGTCACCTTGCCTCGGTGGGAGATGGCCAACTTCTTAAAAAAAAAAAAAAAAAAAAGTATGTGGATTAGAATAAGGGTGGGATGTATTAAGTGGGTTATATCAAGTGTTCATGCACATGAAAAAGAGGTGTATGGAGAAGAGAGAGATTTTTGGTGTTGAACGAGTGTTTAGGGAGTTCTGAGACAAATGAGGAAATAATTGCTGCGAGTATAGGAGGTAAGTTTGCCAGGATAAATAATAATGGGGATCGTATTAAACTTTTCACTTTCAAATGCATATTTTTTTTTATTTTTTATTATCACACCGGCCGATTCCCACCAAGGCAGGGTGGCCCGAAAAAGAAAAACTTTCACCATCATTCACTCCATCACTGTCTTGCCAGAAGGGTGCTTTACACTACAGTTTTTAAACTGCAACATTAACACCCCTCCTTCAGAGTGCAGGCACTGTACTTCCCATCTCCAGGACTCAAGTCCGGCCTGCCGGTTTCCCTGAATCCCTTCATAAATGTTACTTTGCTCACACTCCAACAGCACGTCAAGTATTAAAAAAACCATTTGTCTCCATTCACTCCTATCAAACACGCTCACGCATGCCTGCTGGAAGTCCAAGCCCCTCGCACACAAAACCTCCTTTACCCCCTCCCTCCAACCCTTCCTAGGCCGACCCCTACCCCGCCTTCCTTCCACTACAGACTGATACACTCTTGAAGTCATTCTGTTTCGCTCCATTCTCTCTACATGTCCGAACCACCTCAACAACCCTTCCTCAGCCCTCTGGACAACAGTTTTGGTAATCCCGCACCCTCCTCCTAACTTCCAAACTACGAATTCTCTGCATTATATTCACACCACACATTGCCCTCAGACATGACATCTCCACTGCCTCCAGCCTTCTCCTCGCTGCAACATTCATCACCCACGCTTCACACCCATATAAGAGCGTTGGTAAAACTATACTCTCATACATTCCCCTCTTTGCCTCCAAGGACAAAGTTCTTTGTCTCCACAGACTCCTAAGTGCACCACTCACTCTTTTTCCCTCATCAATTCTATGATTCACCTCATCTTTCATAGACCCATCCGCTGACACGTCCACTCCCAAATATCTGAATACGTTCACCTCCTCCATACTCTCTCCCTCCAATCTGATATTCAATCTTTCATCACCTAATCTTTTTGTTATCCTCATAACCTTACTCTTTCCTGTATTCACCTTTAATTTTCTTCTTTTTGCACACCCTACCAAATTCATCCACCAATCTCTGCAACTTCTCTTCAGAATCTCCAAGAGCACAGTGTCATCAGCAAAGAGCAGCTGTGACAACTCCCATTTGTGTGTGATTCTTTATCTTTTAACTCCACGCCTCTTGCCAAGACCCTCGCATTTACTTCTCTTACAACCCCATCTATAAATATATTAAACAACCACGGTGACATCACACATCCTTGTCTAAGGCCTACTTTTATGGGAAAAAATTTCCCTCTTTCCTACATACTCTAACTTGAGCCTCACTATCCTCGTAAAAACTCTTCACTGCTTTCAGTAACCTACCTCCTACACCATACACTTGCAACATCTGCCACATTGCCCCCCTATCCACCCTGTCATACGCCTTTTCCAAATCCATAAATGCCACAAAGACCTCTTTAGCCTTATCTAAATACTGTTCACTTATATGTTTCACTGTAAACACCTGGTCCACACACCCCCTACCTTTCCTAAAGCCTCCTTGTTCATCTGCTATCCTATTCTCCGTCTTACTCTTAATTTTTCAATTATAACTCTACCATACACTTTACCAGGTACACTCAACAGACTTATCCCCCTATAATTTTTGCACTCTCTTTTTCCCCTTTGCCTTTATACAAAGGAACTATGCATGCTCTCTGCCAATCCCTAGGTACCTTACCCTCTTCCATACATTTATTAAATAATTGCACCAACCACTCCAAAACTATATCCCCACCTGCTTTTAACATTTCTATCTTTATCCCATCAATCCCGGCTGCCTTACCCCCTTTCATTTTACCTACTGCCTCACGAACTTCCCCCACACTCACAACTGGCTCTTCCTCACTCCTACAAGATGTTATTCCTCCTTGCCCTATACACGAAATCACAGCTTCCCTATCTTCATCAACATTTAACAATTCCTCAAAATATTCCTTCCATCTTCCCAATACCTCTAACCCCTCCATTTAATAACTCTCCTCTCCTATTTTTAACTGACAAATCCATTTGTTCTCTAGGCTTTCTTAACTTGTTAATCTCACTCCAAAACTTTTTCTTATTTTCAACAAAATTTGTTGATAACATCTCACCCACTCTCTCATTTGCTCTCTTTTTACATTGCTTCACACTCTCTTAACTTCTCTCTTTTTCTCCATATACTCTTCCCTCCTTGCATCACATCTACTTTGTAAAAACTTCTCATATGCTAACTTTTTCTCCCTTACTACTCTCTTTACATCATCATTCCACCAATCGCTCCTCTTCCCTCCTGCACCCACTTTCCTGTAACCACAAACTTCTGCTGAACACTCTAACACTACATTTTTAAACCTACCCCATACCTCTTCGACCCCATTGCCTATGCTCTCATTAGCCCATCTATCCTCCAATAGCTGTTTATATCTTACCCTAACTGCCTCCTCTTTTAGTTATAAACCTTCACCTCTCTCTTCCCTGATGCTTCTATTCTCCTTGTATCCCATCTACCTTTTACTCTCAGTGTAGCTACAACTAGAAAGTGATCTGATATATCTGTGGCCCCTCTATAAACATGTACATCCTGAAGTCTACTCAACAGTCTTTTATCTACCAATACATAATCCAACAAACTACTGTCATTTCGCCCTACATCATATCGTGTATACTTATTTATCCTCTTTTTCTTAAAATATGTATTACCTATAACTAAACCCCTTTCTATACAAAGTTCAATCAAAGGGCTCCCATTATCATTTACACCTGGCACCCCAAACTTACCTACCACACCCTCTCTAAAAGTTTCTCCTACTTTAGCATTCAAGTCCCCTACCACAATTACTCTCTCACTTGGTTCAAGGGCTCCTATACATTCACTTAACATCTCCCAAAATCTCTCTCTCTCCTCTGCATTCCTCTCTTCTCCAGGTGCATACACACTTATTATGACCCACTTCTCGCATCCAACCTTTACTTTAATCCACATAATTCTTGAATTTACACATTCATATTCTCTTTTCTCCTTCCATAACTGATCATTTAACATTACTGCTACCCCTTCCTTTGCTCTAACTCTCTCAGATACTCCAGATTTAATCCCATTTATTTCCCCCCACTGAAACTCTCCTACCCCCTTCAGCTTTGTTTCGCTTAGGGCCAGGACATCCAACTTCTTTTCATTCATAACATCAGCAATCTGATAACATGTTTACACTATCATATATTAAGTGAGCAACAGAGCTAGGCCTTAAAAACGCATATACAGTACACACATTATTTACCTTAAAAATTTTCGTCCTTAGCTTATAGTGAGTGGTGAATATATTTATTGTAGCAAGTCTGAACAAATGAAGAATGGATATAACTGAAAATTGCTGTATTAGCGAAACGTCATAACGCAAAGTGTTGTAAAGCGAGGTCCACATGTATTCAAATAAGTTGCACAGTATCAGTATCACATTTATGGGGAAACACTAAATCCAAGCGAATCATACAGCAGCAAGAGCATGAGTCCTTCTAAATAAATTACATTAAGGTCAAATTCCTATTAGATGATCTCACATAGATGATGTCATATAGATGCTGTCCCAGGTAGCCTGCCATCAAGGTGAGGCTGGTGAGGGGCTCTTGCTCCAAGGAACTGGACTTGTCATCCCCTTCCTTGGACTGAACAAGAATGCTTCCCATTTTCCAAGTGGTATATGATCCCCATGGGTTTACCACTTGCCCCAGACTAAAATAAAATGTCTCAGGTAGACAAAACAGAAAAAGCTATTAATAAAAGAGGAGAAAGTAATAAAAGAAAATAAAGTAATGAAAGAAGAAAAAGTATTAAGAGAAAGCTTGTACAATCATGACTTACTAGACTTCTTTATCACCAATATCCTCATCTATGAGCAAGGGGCTAGTAACCTCTTCTCCTGTATATATTACTAAATGTAAAAGGAGAAACTTTCGTTTTTCCTTTTGGGCCACCCCGCCTCGGTGGGATACGGTCGGTGTGTTGAAAGAAAGAAAGATCCTCATCTATATATTGCACTGCAAATTTTACCTTGAAGTATTACTTTCAGACAAGGATGGCTGAGAATACTACAGTTCTAAGTCACATGAACTGTGACATCCTCACACTTCTCTTATGACAGTTATGAAATGAGTGAGAGTGAATGTGATTTTTTTATTATAAAAACTGATTGTATTTCTAAAATTTATGTAACTCAGGTAATGTGCTATACACTAATTCTGCCTATTATTGATGTAACAGGCATTTCAGCCTTATGTAGAAAAAAGTAATTTAAACCGAAGAATATTCTAAATGCTGAACATATAAGATAAATGTATAGTCTTAAAGACACATGTTAGTGATGGAGAAATAGAACAAATATGCCAAATAAGTTAAATTTCTGCTGAGTAAGTAGAGAAAAACAACAGATGCTGGATGCTATTGCATATATCATCAGTGGTTCCCAATTTGGCTCTCTACCCATATGAGGAGTCAGGCTGGCTCTTGGAATTATTTTTATGGAGCTTCAAATAAGTAAATATGAGTGCAAATCACAAGTAAATAAGCAAGTGTCACCAAATGTTCAATATGTGCTTTTTTTTTTAACACAATGGCCATTTCTCACCGAGGAGGGGTTACTAGTCCCTTGCTCCGGGTATTTTAGTCACTCCTTACGACATGCATGGCTTATGGAGGAAGGATTCTTCTCCACATCCCCATGGAGTAACATGCATTTGCATGTTGTAAATAAACCAATAATTTTTCTGCTTGAATTTATGTCAAAATTATTTTAAATCTATGCAACTAAAATTTTGAGCCACATCTACGACCCTATGCTGTACATTACACAAAATTTTGAAAATAAGTACTATTACTGTATACCATAAGCTAGAGGGTTTTGAGGTCCTGTGGGTGGCCAGCTTAGGCCAAAAATAAAAATGATGAGAACCACTTTAATATCCCACTAACAATATAATGCTCATGCTTATATCCAACAAATGTGGTGATAACTCTTTGCCAAAAAGCTTCACTCAAATTGTGCTCAATCTTTATTAAAATTCCAATATTCAGCAAATTAGAGCAATATTTAGTTATATTTTTATTAACAATTCAACGCAAAAAATTTCAAATAACTCGTACATGTGAAATTTTGTATGACCTGTGGTTACAGGACTGACACTTCCTGGAACTTTTGTGAAATATAGGCTTGTACTGTACTAACTGTATGATTAAAATTCCTGTAGTACAAACTGTACACTTAGCAAGAGGTAATATTATTGAAGGTGAATATCATATATACTTGAGTATAGATCTATCTTATGTATAGATTAACTCTTGATCTTTTTAGCAAGAAATTATTTTATTCTTCATAGAGAACTAGAAGGTCTCATAGGTAACGACCCACAAGGGGTGAGGGGGAAGCGGGAATAGATGAAGAATAGATGAGGGAGAGGAAAAAGCTATAGAAAAAGAAAAGGAGGTGGGGCTAAACACAGCAGCAGTTATTCATATATCTTAGGTACAAGTCTACCAAAGCTTTTGATGGGTATCACAATGACATTTGAAAATTAAAGAGGTGTAATAATCATTATCCTGATTTTTTTTTTCTTTCAAAACACTGGCTGTCTCCCACCAAGGCAGGGTGACCCGAAAAAGAAAGGACACTTTCATAGTTTTTTCTTATATTTCGTAATTTATACAGGAGAAGGGGTTACTATCCCCTTGATCTGGGCAATTATCCTGAATTATCAAACAGTATTTAGTTCAGAGGTGGGATATGGCTGGTATGTTGAAAGATTAAATTTAAAATGACATTTGTTGTAAATGAGGTTTGCATATAGGTACAGCCAAAACATGCACACAATGTTTTACTTATTAAAAAAGGTCTCATAATTTAATGCTGTCTATTATCCAATTTTAGCTTAACAGTGACCACCCACACAGCCAAGTGTAAACTATATTTAACACCCCTCTGAAGGAAGGGTGTTAAATATACTAATATACAAACATTAACACCCCTTCTTCAGAAGGGTGCTAATGTTGTAGTTTTATAAATGTAGTGTAAGTGCACCTCTGACAAGACAGTGATGGAGTGAATGATGAAAGATTTTCTTTTCGGGCCACCCTACCTTGGTGGGAAACGGCCGATGTGTTAATAATAATAATAATAATAATAATAATAATAAATTTAAGGTGGAATATAATTACTGAGGCTGCATTTGTCCTCGATGCATCCAAGAAGTAAGACTCTTGTATATGGTCGGCATACAATATGTATGGATTTCAGTTTCTCAAAAATATTATCCATGTATAAATTGACCCATTGCTTTTTCCTTAAAAAAAAAAATTGTCTTAAAACCTTAACATATACTCAAGTATACACAGAAATGTGAGGAATCACAACACCCCAATTCAGAGAAGACTAGAGAAGACCATCACCCTACAACATTTTACCCTAAAATTGCTAACAGTTGAACTGCTGGTGCTGCTGCTGCCACTGCCGTTCTTGGCTGCGTCCAAGACTGATGAAGGCACTTCCATACCATGAATGCTGAGGTGCTCGAACAGTTCACTGCAATGAAAAATAAGGAATGAAAATTTTATCCATTAAGAACAAAAAGGCTCAATACAGTGACTAGTACAATACACAAATAACCCGCACATAGGAGAGAGAGGCTTATGACGATATTTTGATCCAACTTGGACCATTTACAAGTCATGCCTATATATATACTGAATCCCTCACTCTTTTTTGTTAGTGTGACTTGTAAATGGTCCAAGTTAGACCGAAACGTCGTTGTGAGCTTCTCTATCCTATGTGCGGGTTATCAGTGTATTGTATCAACTGTCTTCAGTTCTAAAAGTTAATTTTATTTCTTAAAAACTATATTAAGACCTTTCCTGTAAATTAATTATGCCAATTACTATCTCAATCATGTCACTAAGACCTATACACTATTATAAAAAAATGCAAAAGTTAATTTCACAGTTATTTCCAGTATACTTCTATGTAGTAGGTTGGTAGACAGCAATTGCCCAGGGAGGTACTACCGTCCTGCCAAGTGAGTGTAAAACGGAAGCCTGTAATTGTTTTACATGATGGTAGGATTGCTGGCATCTTTTTTTTTCTGTCTCATACACATGCAAGATTTCATGTACGTCTTGCTACTTCTACTTACACTTAGGTAACACTACACATACATGTACAAGTATATATATATATACACACCCCTCTAGGTTTTCTTCTATTTTCTTTCTAGTTCTTGTTCTTCTTTATTTCCTCTTATCTCCATGGGGAAGTGGAACAGAATTCTTCCTCCGTAAGCCATGCATGTTGTACGAGGCGACTAAAATGCCAGGAGCAAGGGGCTAGTAACCCCTTCTCCTGTATATATTACTAAATGTAAAAGGAGAAACTTTTGTTTTTCCTTTTGGGCCACCCTGCCTCGGTGGGATACGGCTGGCGTGTTGAAAGAAAGAAGAAGACTTCTATGTAGTAGGTTGGTAGACAGCAATTGCCCAGGGAGGTACTACTGTCCTGCCAAGTGAGTGTAAAACGCAAGCCTGTAATTGTTTTACACGATGGAAGGATTGCTGGCGTCTTTTTTTTCTGTCTCATACACATGCAAGATTTCAGGTACGTCTTGCTACTTCTACTTAAACTTAGGTCACACTACACATAGATGTACAAGCATATATATACACACCCCTCTGGGTTTTCTTCTATTTTCTTTCTAGTTCTTGTTTATTTCCTCTTACCTCCATGGGGAGTGGAACAGAATTCTTCCTCCGTAAGCCATGCGTGTTGTAAGAGGCTAACTAAAATGCCAGGAGCAAGGGGCTAGTAACCCCTTCTCCTGTATATATTACTAAATGTAAAAGGAGAAACTTTCGTTTTTCCTTTTGGGCCACCCCGCCTTGGTGGGATGCGGCCGGTGTGTTGAAAGAAAGATCCAGTATACATGTACTTACTCTCTCTTACATTTAATCAAAGATTCTTCTGTAAAAGACTGAAGTGCTAAAGATGATCAAAGATTTATTGTATTCATTCCTATCCAATTTACATATTTAACATTTGTCCATGCCTTGAAAAATTCTAATGTTTTGTGCCATATATTATTGGATACCATTGGACTTGAGTCCTGGAAATGGGAAGTACAATGCCTGCACTTCAAAGGAGGGGTTTGGGATATTGGCAGTTTAGAGGGATATGATGTGTATCTTTATACGTATATGCTTCTAAACTATTGAATTCTGAGCACCTCTGCAAAAACAAGTGATTATGTGTGAGTGAGGTGAAAGTGTTGAATGATGATGAAAGTATTTTCTTTTTTGGGGGATTTTCTTTCTTTTTGGGTCACCCTGCCTCGGTGGGAGACGGCCACTTGTTGAAAAAAAAAAATTGAAAACTTTTTAAATGTTTTTTTTTTTTTTTCAACAAGTTGGCCGTCTCCCACCGAGGCAGGGTGACCCAAAAAAGAAAGAAAATCCCCAAAAAGAAAATGCTTTCATCATCATTCAACACTTTCACCACACTCACACATAATCACTGTTTTTGCAGAGGTGCTCAGAATACAAAAAGTTATAGAAGCATATACATATAAAGATACACAACATATCCCTCCAAACTGCCAATATCCCAAACCCCTCCTTTAAAGTGCAGGCATTGTACTTCCCATTTCCAGGATTCAAGTCCAAATATATGAAAATAACCGGTTTTTCCCCGAATCCCTTCACTAAATATTACCCTGCTCACACTCCAACAGATCGTCAGGTCCCAAGTACCATTCGTCTCCATTCACTCCTATCTAACATGCTCACGCACGCTTGCTGGAAGTCCAAGCCCCTTGCCCACAAAACCTCCTTTACCCCCTCTCTCCAACCCTTTCGAGGACGACCCCTACCTCGCCTTCCTTCCCCTATAGATTTATATGCTTTCCATGTCATTCTACTTTCATCCATTCTCTCTAATGACCAAACCACCTCAACAACCCCTCTTCTGCCCTCTGACTAATACTTTTATTAACTCCACACCTTTTCCTAATTTCCACACTCCGAATTTTCTGCATAATATTTACACCACACATTGCCCTTAGACAGGACATCTCCACTGCCTCTAAACGTCTCCTCGCTGCTGCATTTATCACCCAAGCTTCACACCCATATAAGAGTGTTGGTACTACTATACTTTCATAAATTCCCTTCTTTGCCTCCATAGATAATGTTTTTTGACTCCACATATACATCAATGCACCACTCACCTTTTTTCCCTCATCAATTCTATGATTAACCTCATCTTTCATAAATCCATCCGCTGACACGTCAACTCCCAAGTATCTGAAAACATTTTACTTCTTCCATACTCCTCCTCCCCAATTTGATATCCAATTTTTCTTTATCCAAATCATTTTTATTTCCCTCATCACCTTACTCTTTTCTATGTTCACTTTCAACTTTCTACCTTTACACACATTCCCAAACTCATCCACTAACCTTTGCAATTTTTCTTTAGAATCTCCCATAAGCACAGTATCATCAGCAAAAGTAACTGTGTTAATTCCCATTTTGAATTTGATTCCCCATAATTTAATCCCAAACCCCTCTCCCGAACACCCTAGCATTTACTTCTTTTACGACCCATCTATAAAATATATTAAACAACCTTTACACATTTAACTTCCCGACTATTCCTACTTTTACGGGAAGTATCTTCCCTTCTTTCCCACCACTCATCATGAGCCTTTTCCCATCCTGCAATAAAAACTTTTCTACCTTTATCTTTAAACTATTCCATATACTTTGTAAACACTTGCACACATTCTCCCTACCCACTCTAAATCATTGCCTTTTCTAAATTTTTCCATAAATTTCAATATAAAACTACCATACCTTTTTATCTCAATAACTTTCCACATATTTTTACAATCTCTTTTGTCCCCCCCTTACATAAAACTATACATGCTCATCCGCCAATACTAGGTCCTTCCCCTCTTTATACTTTCAAAATAACCCAACCATCACACATTTTTTTATTTATTATCAACCCAGATTACCAGGCATTCCCGAAAAAAAACTTTCACATCATTCACTCCATCACTTTTGCCCGGGGCTTTCACTCGTTTATTAAACTGCATACATTAACCCCCTCCTCGCCACATTCCCATTAACTTCCCCTCCTTTCCCAATACTTCAAAATGTACTTTGCTCACACCAACACAAAGTAAGTATAAAAACTTGTAATGCACTCCTTATCAAATGCATGCCCAATATGCCCCCAAATAGAATTTCATTTACATTTAACCCCTCTCAACCCTTTTAGGCAGAAGGCGCGTACGGGCTTCTCCCGAAAGGTGGGGGACACTCTTGAAAATCATTTTGTTTGCGCCATCCTTGACTTAACCACCTCACAACCCTGCCTCAGGCTTGGATAGAGTGAATCGACAAACTGGCTACTTCAAACTACGAAACTCTGCAGTTTGTGAGCAGCAAATTTTTAGAATGACATTCAGTGAAACCGCTTTTTTTATACCCAGCTTTACACTTAAAAGTGCTTGGAAAACTACACTCATACATCCCTTTAAAGGAAAGTTTTTGGTCTCACAGACTCCTATGCAGCCGATATTTTTCTTCAATTCTATATTACCTTCTTTTCACTTTAAGTATGAGCAAAAACAGTGATTATGTGTGAATGAGGTGAAAGTGTTGAATGATGATGAAAGTGTTTTCTTTTTGGGGATTTTCTTTATTTTTGGGTCACCCTGCCTCAGTGGGAGACGACCGACTTGTTAAAAAAAAAAAAAGTTACAATTCCCAAAATCTTAAGCAAAACCTACGACAAGTGTGCATAACTGCAATGTTCAGTACATCTGAAACCAAATATACAGAAAGTGTCCATCACTGCACATTATTCAGTACCATTTGCCACAAAGACTACAACAACAGTGAAACACTGCACAATGTTCTATACTTCTACAGCAAGTGCACATCACATTGTTCTATACATATCCAGCAAGACCTGTAGCAATTGTGCATCCTTGCACTTACTTCAAAACATGTTGAAATCCTTACCAGAGGACAGGTTGATATCACAATTCTGGCATAAAATAAAACTAAATTACTTGGAATGCCTCAAAATTCTACATATGTACTCACTGGAGCAGAGAAGAGATACATTAAACAGAAATATTAATCTCAATCTTAAAATAATGAATCCTGTGATACTCCAATACTGAAACTATGTACTGTGCCAAAACAAAAGCATTCACATTGCTAAACTCACAAACTAGTATTTAGTCACTTAGCCATAATACCAACTTACCTCATAATTTGTAATATTTTAAAATTAAGATTTAAACTAAGTCTGCCCGAAATGCCTAGCCATGCTAGGTGTTCTAGTGGTACACTCTGTAATTATTATTTTACTACATGTAAACCACACAATAACCAAATTCTGTAAACTCAACATTGTAATCCTTATAGAGAATAAACTTTGAATTGAAATGAATTGAATTATAATATACAGTATACATGAAAGATACTTAAGCGCCTAGTCCCAAATCTGCACACTGACATAACTGGAGCAAGGGATAGAGAAAATGTAAAATAAACCAAGTGAAAAGTAGGAGCACCGTGGGTGTAATAGAAAAAATTATATAAGCATTGTGGGCCTTAACTACTGAACATATTACCAGACGATATCGGAAACACTGCTGGAACAAGTACATAAGCCAAGTGCTGGATCAACCAGGCTGTGAAGGGTATGTGGGCCAGCAGGCCACCATTAACAACAGCCTGGTTGACCAGGCAAGCACCAGTCAAGGTGTAGGAGTAAGAAAACTCTCAAAACCCATCAAAGGTACTCACCCTTTTGTAGGTACATAATAAGGGCAGAACATGCACTTGAAGATGCAGTCTGGGCGTGGAGTGTGGTAGATCAAATGAGGCCTCATCTCATTGCGTTTTTTACAAGTAAATGGACACAGACGGCACTGGAAGGTGCGTGCATTCTCGTGATATTCTGTACTCTCATTTTCTCCTGAAATGTCAAGCATAAAATAGAAGCCATAAACTTCACATCCTAGGGGAAAATACAGTGTGAGAGAGAAAGAGGGAGAGAGGAAGGAAGGGAGGGAGGGAGGGAGGGATAAGGGAGGGATTTCCTGTCACAATATGTACATTATTCATCAGTATCATGAGCATCAACAAGCTATTTCTACCCACTGACTGAAAGATGTCTAATATCATGATAGGCTTTTAGAACACACACATTTCACTAATGTAAATTATATTATAAAACTCCTTGAATTTCTCTATAAACATCCACCCTGGCCATTTTTTTTTAAAAAATACTTTAAATGAAACTTTAACCCCTTAAGTGTCTAGACCCCTCATCTGAAAAGTGTCTAGTGTCCTAGAATTTAAAAAAATAAATTTGTTTTTTTTTCTTATTAAATGGTAAAGAATCTTTTTCTAAAGGTAATAAAACAAAAAGTACAAAAATTGATGGAAAATTGACGAAATTACACTACTGCAAATTTTACTGTGTCAGCGATATTTGCGCAGTGGTGATTTTGCCCACTTTGAGTCTTATTTTCAGCCAATTACAGTAGTACCTCAGTACTTGAACAGCTCCATACTCGAACAATTCGGTATTCGAATGCTTTGTTTGGTAAAAAAATGGCTCAGTAGTCGACTGTTTGGTCGGCACTCGACCAAACAAACATGAGCTGCCAGAACTTCGATGTAAACTATTTTTGTGTTTCTTCGCATTTTTTGGCGTTTTTTATATTATTTGTATAAATAAGTCACCATGAGATCTAAGAAGATTAGTGATAACAGCCAATCAAAAAGAAAATTGGTTGGGAAAAAGTTGTTCAGTACTCGAACAGATCGGCACTCGAACAGCCTTCTGGAACAAATTAAGTTCGAGTACCGAGGTACTACTGTATACTGATCCAGTCGACCAAATTCTTAGCTATTTCACTAGTATGTCTTCCATTTTATCGACTGAGCACAAGAAATTGCCCAATCAACTATTTCAATCACCAATAAATAGTCAGAAATTCGTAATTTGGCCAATTTCACACAAATTTCAAAATATGCCAATTTCAAAATAGGGTCCAGAATAAAAAGTGTAGACAGCCTGTACTGTCTGCACACACAGCCCATGCTGTCTGCCAGCTTAGTTCATATTTCGCGCTATGCTGGTGTTGCCACCTAGGCCTTGCCACTTCAGTATGCCCAGACTTGCCTCACCCTCACTCACACAGCGGCCTGGCATCAACACACAAGTACTCCCAGCTCTCTCTCGCGGGCATGGCCCTGCCCGGGCCATGGGCACAAACACACAAGCCTGTGTAACCCAACACTAGTTATCAATAAAGTAAGAAGCCTCCGAAGACGTATATCATTTAACCACCCGCTACCAGAATACCAAATAAGCCCGTTATAATGGTACCAGCGGTGCTCGCAGCAGTTGTGTTTGCCTGGAGAGAGGGAGGAAGAGGTATGAAGTCATTTTCACTTATCACCCTACACAAGAAGCATCCGTCTCTCAACGAGTTATCCTGATGTCGTGTCTGCACTTTTGAGCATCCAGACACAGGTACTAGCAGGATCCAGCCGAAATTTGTCGAAATTCTCCGAGAATTGTGAGTGGCGTCACAGTGACCCCACGCTACAGCGTCCCACGCTACAGTGTCCCACGCTGTTTCTCAAGTCACGTGTTCAGCGTCACTTGTATGTTGCTGTTGTTGTTCAGCTCAGCACAGCTGTTTCAGCAAGCCAGAGGTGAGTTTTGTGGTGATTTCTGCGTCCAGTGTGAGCTTCTCCACGTGTTTGTGGGTGGAGGAGGAGGAGGAGGAGGAATGGCTAGATGCTCGCCCTGCCATACACTCACCCACGCTCCTCGCCACCACACTACCATACACTCACCACTGCCCACTCCCTCTGCTGTGTTTTCTGCTGTTTTTCTTTGTGAATTCTTTGCCAGTGCTGTGTATCCGAGTGCCCAAGGCCACTCGAAGCTGCGTGGATCAGCATGCCACGTAGATCACGACACCACGTGGATCGACACCACGGTGGGTGTGGGCGATGTCACGTGGATCTACCAGCCACGTGAGTTACCAGATGTCCCAAGGCCACATGCTGTGGTCTGCTGCCCGCATCACATTGACGTCACCTCACGATGTCTGCCTGACGTCACCTCATGATGTCTCCCTGACGTCACCTCGAGATGTCTGCTGACGTCACAGCCCTGCTGACGTCACCTCGCGACATCACGCCTGACATCATATATGTCACATCGAGTGTTTCTAGTAATTATTTTAGTATTGTCGAGAAGTTTGGAGAGAAAATATATGTCATGTGTTATTAATTCCTCTCAGTCAGTGTTCTCACATGTTAGTGTACCGTATGTACAGCGGTGTGTTTTTAAAGTTTCCGTGTGTCCAGTGAGGTCTGAGCCAGACCTGAGTGGCACCACTGTGCTAAGTCACCCGTGTGACCAGTGTGTTTGACAGCTGATTACTCAGCCCTGAGCGTACGAGCCCTCTTGTACAGAAAGCTTTTATACTCGTCGCTCGTGATGTTCTGCAGAATCGTACCTGCTACGATTCCCATCGAGATTTGTTTCACTTCACCTCCAGACCTTCAGAGTGCAGTTATATGTAGAGAAAAAAAAGTCTGGGGACGCTTAGACTAACCTCTGCTATAACTCCAACTGTCGAGAGAATGACACACTGTGTCAGCCTCGTGTCACAAGCTTCAGTGAGCAGCCTGCACAAAGAAGATGTCACTTTGACTGCTAGCTCTCTCACTGCAGTCTGGTGTATGATGTTACGACTCCCAGATGTTTCGCCAAGTCGTCTCTGCCACGACTCGCTCCACAACTCGCTCCACGCTCGCCGGCAGTGACAGCCCAGCGACAGTACCCAGTCGAGAAGTGTCCTCCTGAGTCGCTTGCCAGAAGTCCTGCCCAGTTGCCAAAGTTTTGTCGACGCCTCACTCGAGGGCACCAGCATGTCGTGCCCCAGGTTGAGTGAAAACCTGCAGCGACTCCTACGATGTCTGCTTCACCGTTCCAGAGGAGACCGTACCCTGTTACGTCACAGCTCAGCCGCAGCGATGTCTCCCGTGTTGCAGTATCTGTCCAGACGCAGGAAGTCGTGCAGTGATGCCCATCGACGCTCATTGCCTTTGACCACGATGTTTAGCACACCCCATGTTTTTTTCTTCCCTCCCTGTAGGAATTTTTTTTCCATGTCCATATGTATATATATGTTTTTATTTTGTGTTCTGTGCCCTGTTCCTACGAGAGAGAGAGACCGAGTTTCTTTTACTACCAGTATTGTCGCGTCGGGACGACGCGCGGTAGGTGGCCGAGCATATGTAGACAGCCTGTACTGTCTGCACAGACAGCCCATGCTGTCTGCCAGCTTAGTTCATATTTCGCGCTATGCTGGTGCTGCCACCTAGGCCTTGCCACTTCAGTATGCCCAGACTTGCCTCGCCCTCACTCACACAGCGGCCTGGCATCAACACACAAGTACTCCCAGCTCTCTCTCGCGGGCATAGCCCTGCCCGGGCCATGGGCACAAACACACAAGCCTGTGTAACCCAACACTAGTTATCAATAAAGTAAGAAGCCTCCGAAGACGTATATCATTTAACCACCCGCTACCAGAATAAAATAACATACATTCCCTTCTTTGCCTCCATAGATAACGTTTTTTGACTCCACATATACCTCAATGCACCACTCACCTTTTTTCCCTCATCAATTCTATGATTAACCTCATCCTTCATAAATCCATCCACCGACACGTCAACTCCCAAGTATCTGAAAACATTTACTTCTTCCATACTCCTCCTCCCCAATTTGATATCCAATTTTTCTTTATCTAAATCATTTGATACCCTCATCACCTTACTCTTTTCTATGTTCACTTTCAACTTTCTACCTTTACACACATTCCCAAACTCATCCACTAACCTTTGCAATTTTTCTTTAGAATCTCCCATAAGCACAGTATCATCAGCAAAAAGTAACTGTGTTAATTCCCATTTTGAATTTGATTCCCCATAGTAGGTTGGTAGACAGCAACCATCCAGGGAGGTACTACCGTCCTGCCAAGTGAATGTAAAACAAAAGCCTGTAATTGTTTTACATGATGGTAGGATTGCTGGTGTCTTTTGTCTGTCTCATAAATATGCAAGATTACAGGTATGTCTTGCTACTTCAACTTACACTTAGGTCACACTACACATACATGTACACGTTTATTTATACACACTCATCTGAGTTTTCTTTGATTTTATCTAAATAGTTCTTGGTCTTATTACTTTTCCTTTTATATCCATGGGGAAGTGGAATAAGAATCTTTCCTCCGTAAGCCATGTGTGTTGTAAAAGTCAACTAAAATGCCGGGAACAATGGGCTAGTAACCCCTTTTCCTGTAAAGATTACTAAAAAGAATAAGAAGAAGAAAATTTACAGTCTTCTGGGTCATAATTCTCTCATGTCATATATTTGAGGAATTTTACTCAAATTAATTTTTTTTTTAACACACTGGCTGTCTCCCACCAAGGCAGGGTGACCCGAAAACAAAGAAATGAAAGTTTTTTCTTGTTACATTTAGCAGTTTACACAGGAGAAGGTGTTATTTGTGCAATGTTATGACCAACATCATACAATAAACAAGAATGTGGTGACACAAAAAGTTTGGAATTTATGTAAACTGAACAGGAAAAAACCAATAAGGATAAGACGTGCTTTTAGTGAAGTGGGTTTTGGATAGCAAGTCAATACTGTATTATTCCTATAGATTAAACACTAAAATAATTATATACTGCACTATATGTGAAAATATGATATGATACAAAGGTCTAGATTCATCCTGGATAAAAGATGAATAATATATTAGGTAAATAAATTATTTTTTTTTTTTATTATCACACTGGCCGATTCCCACCAAGGCAGGGTGGCCCGAAAAAGAAAAACTTTCACCATCATTCACTCCATCACTGTCTTGCCAG